GGTGGACCTCATGTCGATCGGCACGTTGCTGGCCTACTCCCTGGTGGCAGTGTGTGTGCTCATCCTCCGGTGGGTGACTCCTTCTGTGTGGTGGTGCCCAGGGTGGATGTTCCTTGCACTGACCCCGGGGGATTTTCGCCACAGCTTTTTCCTGGGGGCATGCAGCCTGGGGAAGTGTCCAGCCCCCAAGGTGGAGGCTGCTCATGACAGCCTGTGAGGTGTCTCTGGGCATATCCTTGTAGTGGCTGTCCTGGGGCCACTGCTGGAGCAGCAGGAATATGAGGGTGCTGCCCGCTGTCCCCCTGGGCTACGAAGTTCTGTGGGCTCTGCTGCAATCTTGTCCTACCTGCTCAGGTACCAGTCTGGGCAGCTGAACTCCCCGAAGGCCATGGAAATGCTGGAGCTGAATGGGAACGAGGAGGAGAGGGTGATCATGAATCCAACCGTCACTGCTGCCGGTGCCCAGCAGAAAGAGACGCTGTCCTGTTCAACACTCTTTAACCCACCTTCAGACACCCCCACTGCGCTCTCGGGGCGCATCGTCTATGTCTGTGTCTCGGTCATTGGTGAGTGAGTGGGAGCTGGCAGTTGATGTCCCCTCCTGCCAGGGGCTGGAGTGTTTTTGGCGCGTCTCTGCAGAGCTGGGAAGGGATGGAGAGGGGCCAGGCGGAGGAGAGGGGCCAGGCAGCACAGGCTGCCAGCTGCTGTTGGCAGTGCCAGCGAGTGCTGAACCCACCTGCCCTAAGCAGGGTGCCAAGTGCAGGGTACAGCTGTGGTTTTTGGGGTGCACGGGGGTTGTTGGTGGACATGGGTGCTAAGCCAAGCATGTGTGGGTGGTCACGGGAGATCCCTGCGATGAGCCTGGCCCATGCTGGCCACCAGTGAAGGTGGTCCCCAACCCCTTGAGAGTGCTTTGGCTTGGTTTGCTTTGGCTTGTCCCTCAGTGGTTCCATTGTGCAGCCAGAATGGGGTGGCTCAGCCAGGTCTGGGTAAGTGTCAGAGCTGGATCTGAGCCCAGCTGAGCGCAGGTTCCCTGCAGCTTGCTGGGTTGGCAAGCACCTCCAGCAAAGCGCTTTCCTGAGGCTTTGGGGTGGATGTTGGAGACAGCAGGTGCTGGCCCCTTACCTGACCAAGAGGAATAGGTGCCTCAGCCCAGCCATTGGTGAGGCTCAGGGTCCCAAGGAGGCCACAGGCAATGCAGCCCCCTGACTAAGCCCTCTCTTGCAGCCACGGTGGTCACAGGCCTCTGCGTGTTCCTGACCTTCAGTGTGGCTGCTCTGAAGGACACCAATGTGGGCTGCATCGTGGTCCTGGTGCTGCTCCTTGTGGCTTTGCTCATTCCCACCATCATCATTTGGAGGCAGCCGCAGAGCAACGCGCGATTAAACTTCAAAGTGAGTGCAGCCCCCTGCAGCTTGGCATCTGCACCCCCATGGACTCCAACAGGATCTGGGCATTGCAGGGTCTGCCAGGGCTTGCTGCCAGGCAGTTACCAAGAAGGCCCAGTGCCCTCAGACCTCTCTGAGGTGCAATCCCCAGTGTGGAAGTGCCCGGGTATCCTCTGGGTGTGGTGGGGATGGGGTCCCTCTGTGGCCACCAGCATCCTCAAAGCCAGCCTGGTCCCTCAAGGCACAGTTGACACAGCACAACTTGTCCCTTGCAGGTACCTTTCCTCCCATTGCTGCCGATCTTCAGCATCTTTGTGAACATCCTGCTGATGGTACAGCTGAGTCCCGGCACCTGGATACGGTTTGCCATCTGGATGGTTTTGGGTAGGTGTGCTGTGGCAGGGAGCACGATGCCTGCAGGTCTCTCCTTGGGGGGATGTTAATGCTGGCAGCTCACCATTGTGCATTTCATTATGGAAACTGTCCTGCAGGTTTCGGGATTTACTTTGGCTATGGGATTCGGAACAGTGTGGAAGGGAAAAATGCAGAAGAAAAGCCTCTTCACCATCCTGGACTGGACCTCAGCCCCGGGGCTGCTGCAGTCTGAAGTACTAGGCACAAACACTCCATGGACCCCTGCCAGTGTTCCCGCTTGGGGACAAGATCATGATCCGCACAGTGCATCCATCCCCTCTCCTATAGGGAGTCCCAGAGTCAGGACTGCGGAGCTTGGTCATGTGCTGCCCTTTCCCCTCACAGAGCAGAGGTCTCCAGGCTGGGTGGGAGTGCTGGTGGGCCAGGCCTGGTCTCTGTCCTGCTGAGGAGCAACAACAATGGTACGGCCCTCCTACCACGAAAACTGCTTTCCCTGTGCACTGGAGGCCCTACATGATGGTACAGTGGTGCAGTGGTACTTGTCCCGTCACGTTGCTGTGTTTACCACCTCCTCTCTGGGGTTTCTCAGTGCCAGCTGTGTACATGGCATCCATGTCTGTAGCTGGGCAGAGGGGCTTGCTATGAATTGTTCTGATCCTCACGGTACTGCCAGCAGACCGGTACTCCCTGCCAGCACAGGACTGAGCTGGCCTGTGATTTGCATCCTCTACTTGAGCCTTGTGCTGCCCTGGCCATGTTGCTTAGCTCCAGTGTCCGTGAAGATGTCCCCAGTGTAGCTGTATTGCTGTCCAACCTCACATGTGTTTGTACAGTTTGCGTTTTAATGCCAGTTTTTTTATACCTCATAAATATTTTTTAAGTTCTTGTCTCTGTTGATCTTGCTGCATCTCCTGTTAATGCCCTGTGGTCATGGGCCCCTGAGCAGGTCCCTACATGCTACCGAGGTGGGTACCAGGCTGGTGCCAGTGCAGAACAATGCCTGGTTCCAGCTAGGCTGTGCTGGGTGAGCTCCCTGCCCGAAATCTGCCAGCTGGAACCACCCGCCTTTGCACCCGCCCCTGGGAGGGGACAGTGAGCTTGTGAGCCAGGAGCTGTGGAGCAGTGCTCCAGGCCAGCTCAAACCAGTGCTGCTGGTACCTAGGGGCAGGACAGCATCCTGTCATGGCCCTGCCTTGCAGGCCCTGTGCTGTGGGGGATTGTGTCACCAGGTCCCAAAGCAGCGGATGCAGTAAAGACCTTGAAAATATCTCCTGGAGATGCCAGCAATGATTGCAGAAGAAGCATGGCCAGGAGCTGGGCTGCATCCATGTGAGATGATGATTTTCCAGATTCTGGTCTGGTCTAAATCAGACCTGACATTATTATTCAAGATGAACTAATTTAAGGCAGATGGATTGTGCTTGGTTTTGGCATCTCTCCCTGTTTATTGGCAATGGCACAGGGTCACTGCACGGTCAGCAGTGAGGCACCCACACCATCAGCTGTGCTTGGCCCCTGGGCTGGAGCTGTGAGCCCTGCCTGGAGTAAAAGGGGCTGCAGCACCTACTCTGACCCCAGGCCAGGCACTCACTGCCCCGGTGCCCTGGGCTGGGGTGCCCTGCCAGAACCTCAGGCTCCAGCCCCCAGGGGCAGCCGGCTCCTGGCACTGGCTCCTCACGGCTGCTTCCAGCCCTCCTAGTCAAGCTGGTGCCTTGGTGTACCACACTGTTTCACCACCCCACCTTGTGGGTATCTTCTGGCCGGGGGCAGTACATGGGGCCCTGCTGAGCCCTGAGCCTGCAGACCCCCTGGCACTCGTGTCCCTGGTTTCAGGTGCTGTTGCCCAAGGCTTTCCCCTCCTGTGCCAGTCAGGGAGGGGCCATTTTCTGGTTTGAGAAAACTCACCAAAAAAGCAGATCCTGGTCTTGGTGTTGAGGGGCCTGTGACGACCCAGCCTTTAGGGGAAGGAAGCGCCCAGCCCCACACACAGCTGCCTGTGGTTTGCCCTGACATCCCGGGCACTTCCACCCAGGCTGGCAGCACAGGCTGTGTTCCTCCTGCTGTCCAGCCATGGGCCTTCCCCAGGGCAACTCCAGGCCTGGCAGAGCACCAAACACACCTGAAGCCCTCCCCTGTTTGTGCCTCTGCCACTGCACGGGCACCATCGCGGGCAGGGGCAGCAGGGCTGGCTCCTGGCTCAGCGCTGCCTTGCTGGCTGTAGTGCCGAGGGGGACACTCAGACAGATCCCCCTGGGAGATACAGCCAGGGCTTGGTTTGTGATCTCCCTGTTGCCATTTAAATCCCCCTGGATTTAAAGGGGAGCTGGAGGGCTGCTGGCTCCTGCTGTGTTTGGTTCAAGCCGTGGTGAGGAGGCAAGAGTTTGGGGCAGCATTGCAGTGGAGGTCTGGCTGTGGTCACTGGCTGATGACAGTGTGCCTTGGCCACAGGCCATACCAGGGGTGCAGTGCTGGTGGGTCAGGGTGCCAGGGGTGCAGAGACTGGGTGGCTCTCAGCCTCCCTCCCCATCTGGCTCCACCCTAATCCCGTGGCATTCTTAATTTCGTATCCAGCTGCCTGTGGGGAACACAGAGCTTTCCTGGTGGAGCCATCGCAGCAGCTCTCTGCACATCAGCTGCTTGCCACCTCCGGGGGGCTGCTGAGAGGAGCCCGTGTGGCCACACAGGCTGGAGGCAGGGTGGAGATGGGGAACTGTGACACTGAGTCCTTGGAGGAAGAGCTGTCACTGCAGAGGCTGCCCCTGCACTGCTCCCCTACCAGAAAGGGGGTGGCCCTGGCACACGGAGATGAAGCAGCAGATTAAATTTTAAATTGGGTACAATAATCTGGTTAGGAGTTAAAATAGGCTGGCAAGTCTGTTCTGCTCTGTGACACCAAATGCTTCAATCTGAGGAGTTAATGTGCCACCTTCTTCCCTGTAAAACCAGTGAGCAAGTGGATACCATCAGATTCCTTTCCCTGCAGGTGATCAGCTGGCGGAGCGGTGGCTGCTGGGCCTCGAAGAGCTCCAGGAGATCAAAGCCAGTGAGATTCCTATCACTCCTCACTCACCTCGCTCCAGACAGGTCCCAACCCTTCTGCTTTCTGTGGTAAGATTAAGCATGCATTACCCAGTAGCTGGCAGGAGGTTGTGTGCATCCGATAATCCTCCTGGCCCTGAGCTCTCTAATCATGCAGGCTTAATGCTCGCCTTGCTTTGCCTTTGCAGGCCTGGCATGATGGCTTGCTGCCAGATGGTCGCTCTTCTCTTACTCTCCTTTCTTCTAGTGCTGCAGCTGGTGACCTGGTTCCCACTCGTGTTCCCTGCTCCACACTGCAACCAGCCAAAGGGTGGTTCCTGTCACAGTCTGTCCTGGAGCTCATGACATGCTGTGATCACGCCTGCCCCCGGCAGGACCTCATCCTGATCCCTCAGAGCTTCCAGGAGTACCTCTCTTATGAGACAGTGTATCCCAACAGCACCCATACCCTCACCGTGGTGGAAGTGAGCCCTTGAGTGAGTGGTGTGGGGAGGAGGGGGCAGAGGCAGCATGTGCAGTGCAAGCAGCAGATTTATGGTGCAGACAGGCAGTTTTCCATCAGTGGGGCCACTTCCTGATGAGCTCCCGCTTCTCTGCCACCATCAGGATCCCCACAGGCTGCACGGGTGTGCTGGTGTTTGAAGACACATCCCCACCACTGCCTACTGCCTTCACCATGGCAAAGTCTATGTGAAGGGGGTCAAGAAGATCCAAGTGAGTTTCCTGATGCTGGCACAGGGTGCTGGCAATGGGATGGGGAGGCTGGTGATGCACATGGGCCCATCCTTGGTCAGTGTGGGCTATGACTACACCCTTTTTAGGCTGCACAGGCCATGCTGGTGCCTGCACATGAAGCTGATGGCAGCTCTGGCAGCAGAGAAGATGGCTGGGAAGAGGAGTGATTTCTCAGGGTTTGACGGTGACCTGCTGGGTGGTCTGCCTCTTGTGTGGGAGGGAGGACGAGATGGTCCTTCTCATCTACTGCGATGGCAGCCCTGGTGCATCTGGCTCTGGGGTGTATGTGCAAAGTGTGAGACCCTATATGACACTGTACAAAGCTTGCCTTATGTTTCCCTACCTCACACACATGAGATTTTTTGCTAATCCTACATTTTATGGCTGGTACCCTTCTCCATCTTCCTTAAGTTCTCCTATTTTCCTGCTGTGTTTACCCAGGCAATTATTCCCTCTGTAATTCATATTCTCCACGAGGGATCTTACGCTGGTGGTGCTTTGCAAGGCTGGACAGATGACTGCTTGTATTTTTCACTCTTAAGTCAATGTCCTGTTCCTTTTCACTGCATCTCAGGGGCAGCCTTTATCACAGGCCACTCAGTGCTGTCACTGCTTAAACCTGATGAAGAATAAACATGCAGTTCCTTCAAGACCTGTGACAGTTGTACGGGCACAGCAACCTGATTTGCAAAACAAACATGTAGGAGACATTTCAACAAACTAAATGTAACACCTCCTCTAGCTCAGTTACTAAGACTTCACGTGAGTGTTAAACTAATTTAACTTACATGCCTGGTCTGCAGATGGATGTGCAACAGTTTCTATCACCCCAGACGAGATAATGCATGAAAAATCATGATGACACATTACTGGGCAGGGAGCAGCTGCTATTATTTACACAATAGAACCCAAATTTACAGGCAGAATTTAACTTGTTCAGTGGAATTACCTGCCCTAGCCTAGAGGTTCTTGGGGACAGACCAAAAAGGGTTTACATCTCCTCTGGTCCCTTGTTTGGACATAAGAACAGGCTAGAGAGTGCCAGACATGGCCTTCTTAAAATAGCAAGAAACACAGGGAAGGGAGTTCTTGGTTCCTTCCTCTCTGAAGTGCTCACTGAGCATTTGTTATGCTTCACAGGCTACTCCAGTTAGCAGGTGGAACAGGTGACAGGAGGAACAGCTGCTGCACAACAGAAGAGGAAAAACCAGCACCAAGACAGAAGTGCAGAGAAACACAGGGAGACTCGTGCACCCTTTTCAGTGTTTATCTATATGTTTGCAAGTGGCAGCAGCTTTAAGACACCAACAGGAAACGTGTCCCCCCCACCCCAGTTTGTGTTATAGAGGAAGTGGTTTTGACACACAAACTGCAACAGGTACAGGACTCACTGCTGGGGTGGGCTGACCTTGGCTGGATGCCAGGTACCCACCAAGCCACTTGTACCAATCCCCTCCTCAGGGGTGTCCCTGCCCATGGCAGGGTGCTCAGAACTACCTTTTTTGGGTTACTTGATAGAGTGGGCTCACAAGCTGACAATAACCTGGAATATGCATTCTTCAGAATCCCACAAGGCTTAGGAAAGCCAGTGTCTCCTCCTTGTTGTTAGCATAGTTCTTACCTTGATCACATCCACAGGGACGTGATGACATCCATCTGGTCATTTTATTCCCAAGAATTGAATAGCCATTGGGCTTACCTGTCTTCCTGCTGACTTTTGCCCCCGTTACCCCAGCACTGGGACAACCAGTCAGGAACCCACACACCTGCCTGGTGTCTGTAATCTTTCTGCATGTCTCAAAGTTCTGGTGAAGTCAGACTGGGTAGTTTCCACTTCTTGTCTGAATTCCCTCGTTCCTTTTTGCTGAAGAGCCAGCTTCTTGATTGAATCCTTCTTTCTCCTCCTCCCTTAATAATTGATCACCACGTCCACCGTTTGTTTTTCACGACTGGGGCAATTGTGTTCTTGTATCTCTACTATCATGACTTCAGATGTAGTATGTACCCCAGCCTCTGTCAAGATATTCTCAGAGGTGTCTTGGGTCCCTGACTTAACCACAGCCCTCTGATAGCACTGTACTGTGGCTCAGCAGGCTCATGCCAAGGCCCAGCACAGTGCCAGAAGCTGCTGGTTTTCACTGGGGGCCCCTTCTGTCAGGAGGCATGTGAGTTTGCCAGGGTTACATGCCTGTTCAGGTGTGAAGTCCTGGGCTATGGGAGGTGATAACTGCCCAGGCACCTGCCCAAATCCTTCCACACATTCTGCCACCCACGGACCAGCCGCCCCAGGGCACATTTTAGTACTGACTCACCCAAAAGTTGCCTTCTCTTACACCAGGATGACGCCAGATTACACAGACCCCATGATATGCCAGCAGTGTTAATTAGTAGTATTAAACAGCTCATGTAAGGGTGAGCAGAGACCTCACAAGCCTGCACAGTAAAGCCACCCACACCAGTCCCAGCTAGGGAGAGGGAGATGTATTCCCTGATCCACTCCACGAGACAGCTCCCCCAGCAGAGCAAGGCCATCAGTGTGCAGGGCAAAGCACAGAGCAGTGTTTTGTACTAACATGTTCCCAAGCCCAGCAAAGCAGAGAGATAAGCAGTGCAGCCAACAAACTGTGACCTGACAGGAGCTGCCTGCTTAGTAAATACTACAGCTATAGCACACTGACACAGAACTGCCGTGGTCTCAGGCCCCACGCTGGGAACCAACAGGACTGTGGGGGGCTGACCCTGGCTGGACTCCAGGTACCCACCAGGCTGCTCTGTCACTCCCCTCCTCAGCAGGACGGGGCAGGGAGAAAGTGAGATGGAAACGGAACTTGTGGGTCAAGATAAAGGCAGTTTAATCAAGCAAAAGCAAGGTCGCCTGTGGAAGCAAAGGAAAACTAAATATTTATTCTTGATTTCCCACCAGCAGGAGATGTCCAGCCACTTCCTAGGAAGCAGGGCTTCAGTACACACAGCAGCTGCTCCAGAAGAAAGATGTTTTCATAAGGAATGTCCCCCTTCTCCTTTCTCTTAGCTTTTATTGCTGAGCAGAATATCCCATTGCTCAGGTTGGGTCAGCTGTGCTGGCTCTGCCCCCTCCCAAGATCTTGCCCCCCCCCAGCCTGCTGCTGAGGGGGGAATGTTAGGGATAGCCTTGATGCTGTGGGAACACTGCTCAGCAGTAGACAAAACACCGGTGTGTTATCAACCAGCTTTCTAGCTACCAATACAAAGCACAGGTCCATGAGGACTGCTGGGGTAAAATTACCTTCACCTCAGCCAGAGCCAATACAACTGTTTATTTAAAAAATTAACAGAAACTTTTTAACAAAATCACACTGAACAGCAAGGATCTGAAAAGCCAGGCAGTGCTGGGGCATCACAAGGAGAAATGCTCTGCAGGCCCTGACCAAACAAAGGGCTAGATGTGCAGACAAGCACCTCCAAGTGGATAATAAGACTTGTTCCACGTCTCTCATCCAAACGGTGATACTGCTTTTTAAGCAGGTGAGGTTGTAAATAAGAAACCTGAATCTCTTGTGCATCCCCACGAAGCACCTGGAGGGCTCAGATGGTGCTAAGCTCTTAAAATATCCCATTTGAAAGCAACCATGGCTGCAGTTGCAGCTTGGAGGAAGCCACCTGCTTTAGCTGCAACATGAAGAGGATGTCATAGCATAAGGTGTGTGTGACATGCTGCATTTCTTCTTGCCCAGAATCCTGCAGAGCTGTCCTTTTTTTTTTCCCCTTGTTGCCCTGTATCAGCACAGAACATCCTCTCTAGCTCAGAAGGAAGGGAGAATGAATACATGTATATCCACAGTCTAAGGAGGGCCACCTTTTGCTGGAACTTGGATCTCACTCCATACCCCGATCCCAAATGCGACAACAGGGCTAGCTCTGGAAGGACAGAGCCCTCTATGACCTAGGAACCACACAGCAGTTAATAGATTGCAGGCTGGTGATTTGCCTTCTGCATCTGAATGATCTTGCCGAAGCCACCTCTTCCCACATCGTAGTCTGTCCGGTACTCATCTCGCACCTGGGGCACAGCAACAACACACACGTCAGTAACCTGCACTCCTGTCTCCTCCTGGACTTCAAAATCATCATCCACTCCTTGTTCAGTTGGTGGGCAACTGAATTCAGGTTAGAAGCACTTCAACTCGTTTGAGATCTCTTCAAATAATCCACCAAAAAGGTGGTGAAAATGAGAAATAATGATATATCTGATGGCCGAGGTATTTTCAGATAAGCAACGAAGACCCCAAAATATTTTCATTCAGCTTTGCAGCCCAATTTTCTGAATAGCCAAGCTTGGCCCCCAGAACGTTTTATCCCCTCCACCCTGGAAATCTGCAAAGGAACCTCACACCTTTGCCCTGGGGCAAACTGCTGTGTCCTGAGATTGGCCTGGCAGCTACACTGTCCCCCTCCGTACAAATTCTGCATCATTTTAAGAGTACTGGCTTGGATTTGGGAGCATCCTGCTTGCATTACAGGAAGTTTGGACTCCTAGATGGAAACGGCCTTAAGTTGTTCCCAGCTTTTAACACCAAGCATCAGTTACCAAAACAAGCCGGGAGCGACTAAACTTCGCCGTCAGGTCCTTACAGTCTGCGTGAGGCAAAACAAGCAAAGAAGTGCAGAGCCTTTTGGGGGGGATCAGATTCAGGGGGTGAACTGGTATTGCCTTTACCTGTCCTCCAGTCTTTCCTCTCCCATACTGCCTCCCCTCCTTGAACCCAGCATCCCAGTCGGTCCGGATGATGCGGTCGTCCAGCCGCGTGCTGTTGATGAACCGCATGGCGTGCTCGGCATCTGCCCTCGTGTAGTATCTGGGGCACTCTATAAGGAGATCTAAGCCTGTTTTTTTTTTTTCTTTTTTTTTGTTGGGCAGAGGGAAAATAAAAAAAAGAAAACTATTGTATGTTAGAAAAAGCAAAAAACCGCCCCACCCCTGCCCTCCAGCCTTTTTCTTCCCTACAGGATCAAAAACTGCACTAAAACCGGCCAACGCTCTGAGAGGATTCTGTACTTTAATGTCAGTACCTGCAGAAACAAGAAGATGAAACAAAAACATTAAAGCCTTGCTAAGGGCAAGAAATAGGTAATATGCCTCTTTATGCCACGTGAAACTTGACTGAAACAGAACAAAAGGGGAGCTCTGCACAGACAGCTCGTGGCATGACCTGTACGAGCGTGTACCCTGTGCCTGGGAATGCCCCCGTGGCTTATGCTGCTACTTCCTTCAGGTGTAAAGCCAAGGTGAGAAAGCCAACATGTTCTCTGGCCACAGAAGACCTCAGACTGAGGACTCAGTTCTCCTTTTGGCCCTAAAACCATGAAAGAGATTAATAAATTAAAGTAGCTCTCTGCCACCTCCAGAGAGAATAGCAGTGGTGGCACTTGTGATGTGGGGCACCACTGCACAGTCTGTCTCACAGTTGTCTCACAGTTAAGGTGGGGGAGAGCAAGGTGTAAGGTTGGAAGGGATGTGCCTGGTAGAAAGCACCTGGCTGTGTCTGCCTTCCAGTAGCAGTAGCACAGCTGTGCTTGGAACTAAAGGTGGTAACCACACACGGGCTGACAGAAGGGGAAGAGAAAGGATACTCGACAAAGCAGAAGCCACAGGGGGTCTTCTTGATCTTGTCCAGACCCATGACAATCCTCTTGACATCCCCGCACTTGGAGAAGAGCTCCTGGATCTGCTCCTCGGTGGTGTAGAAGGACAGGTTGCCGACGTACAGCGTGGAGGAGATCTTCAGGGACTTCTCCTGCAGCTGCCTGCTGCCCTGCGGGCACAGAGGCGCACGCGGCGGGGTCAGCGCTCCCACTGACCCGCTCCCTCCCGCTCCATCCCGGCCCTGCCCCGGACACGGCCCTCCCCGCCCCCTTCAGGCGCACCCTGAAGTGCTGGTCGCGGTACTGGCTGATCTCGCAGTACGAGTCGCTGTTGAGCCCGCTCAGCGTGGTGTGCAGGAGCCCCGACATCGCGCCCGCCCGGGCCCCGCTCCCGGGCCTCGCTCCCGGGCCGCCGCTTCCGGGACACTTCCGGAGGGCGCGCGCACGGACGCGCGGGCGTCGGCGAGGGGGAGGAGCCGCGCGCGTGCGCCACGCCGATTGGCTGAGAGAGCTGTCGCTGCGGGGTGGGGGAGGCGGGGCGGAGAAGCAGAACAGCAATTCGGCGCGCGGTAGGTCGCCGGGACCGCTGGGCCCAGGGCCCGCACACGCGCGTGCGTGCGGCGGCCGTTCCACCGTGCGCGCCCTCACGGAGCGCCTGAGGGGCTGCCCCGGCCATGGAGTTCAACCACGCGTGGCCGCCCTGTGAAGTGCCGCGGGGCGCGGGCTCTCCGTCCCCGATAAACGCCGCCCGGCTGTGTGTCACGCCCCGCTCTCCTCCTGTGTTGCAGGGCTGGTGCGGGAGCTGCTGAGGGAGGAGGCGCCGTCGCGAATCGCGGCGCTCACCGAGGAGCTGTTCCAGGCGGCGGGGAGCCTCCCTGAGGAGGCCGGGGGGGCGGCGCAGGGAGAGCCCCCCGCTCCCGGCCCGCCTGAGGGACCGGGAGGTGCGTGTGCCTCGCACCCCGCGGGCCTCGCCCAGGTTGGTGCCGCAGCTCTTGCGAACACCCGCTGCTGCCGCCGCCCATCGCCACCGCCCGGCGGCGAAGATCGGTGTTTGGCACTACACAAACCAGTTCATTTTTGAGTCGTGGTAGCCCAAAATAAAGTGGGAAATGTTACATTTTAAAAATCAGTGGGAAATGTCGATCCTAAATGTAAAAGTGTGTTGCAATGACCTCACCTGGATGCCGTGTCCAGCTCGGGAGTCCCCAGCACAGGAAGGACGGATCTGTTGGAGCGAGGCCACCGAGATGATCAGAGAGCTGGAACACCCTTCCTACGACAGGCTGAGAGTTGGGGGTATTCAGCCCGGAGATGAGGAGGCTCTGGGGAGAACTTTAAGCCCCTTCTCTACCTAAAGGGGCACCCAATGAGCTGAAGAGGGACTTTGGGCATAGCACAAGGGGGAATGGCTTCAAACTGAAAGGGTATATTTAGATTAGATGTTAGGAAGAAATTCTCCCCTGTGAGAGTGGTGAGGCCCTGTCACAGATTGCCCAGAGAAGCTGTGGCTGCCCCATCCCTGGAAGTGTCAAAGGCCAGATTGGACAGGGCTTGGAGCAACCTGGTCTAGTGGAAGGTGTCCCTGCCCAGGGCAAGGGGGTTGGAACAAGATGGTCTTTAAGGTCCCTTCCTACTCCAACTGTTCTATGACGATAATGGGAAAAGTTACTGGTTACTGCTGATGTTCAGGTTTTTATTATTTCAAATTTCTGGTCATATCTAACTGTCATTTCAAGTAAAAATGCAAGCAGAGAGCACTGATGCGTTAACAGTTTGGGACTTGATCAGAGGAGAGGTCCTTTTCATCCTGTATGAGAGCAGACACTTGAGGAAGAAAAGAACAAGCAAGCACACCATTTTAGCTGCCTGGTAAACCCAGTACATAATATTAGAGTGGGAAGTACTCATTTTCTATGTTCATAAGTTTATCATGTGCTAATATCAAAAGGTTCCTAATGTAGGTATTTAAAATAATTAGCTACTCAGTTTTCTTTTTGATACATAAAAGAGATGAAGCCTTACTACAGATATTTCTCAAACCTGATAAGATTCTTACAATTCTTTTCCAATCCCTTCAGATCTTAAATCTGTTTTCAGTGTACATAATATATTCTGAAGGCTGCCAGGGAATCAGTTGTATTTTGGACATGGTGATGTGAAATTGCACAAATTTTTTCTCTCTCTGAGTGTTTCTGAGAAATTTGCATCCCAGATGGATGGGGTGAGTGAGGTCATGTTTTGCTAAGTCTGGAATTCGTAGAAATGTAGGTTAGGACATTTCAATTAATGGCATTTGTTTAGGAACATATTCGAATGCATCTTAATTCCGGCACTTCCCTTACAGAATTCCCTTTCATGTAGAATTTCTAATTGAAGCCAACGGCACTGATGGATGATGTGACATATATGTGCTGCTTGCCGTATGATTTAATTAGTTCTCTTTAGTTTGGATTTACATAGTCATGTTCTGTCTTACCTTGCTTCATCTTAGAAGTGCTCTCGTGTTTTCAGGTGTGAAATAGCCTTTGTAAGACTATGTCTTATGAAATGTGCTTATGACAAGAGTATGTGCTTCCTGCCAGCTGTGTATACTTGAATGACCCATACTTACAGCTGAAGAAATGCTGTATGGTCCACTCAGCATGCCTGTTTTCAGGTCATTGTTCAAGATGTCCCTGTGGGATCGTGTGACAGTTTTATGGAAAACTCACACCTTTGACTGCAACGCCAGAGGGAGTTGCACAGACCTGGTCATTACTGTGGTACATGTGAAAGATGGTTCTTTTTCCAGTAGTAAATTTCAACGGGACTCACCTGCAGGACAAAATTAAACCTCATGGAATTCTCCCATCCAGGTTGAAGAGAGTGCAGTCAGCCTGTGGAACTGGGCTGTGGCCAAACACACGGGTGCTGTTGTCAATGATGAGCAAAAAGCCAAACGTACGTATGTTCTGTACCTTCCTAAATGTGTTGCCCGTGCTGCAGCATGGAAGTGAACAGCTCTCTGCTGACAGGCACATATGTGGTGCTGTAGATTTGTTTGGGGCTTTGCAGATAGGGTGTAGAGAGAGGAGAATGTACAGTTGGGCTTGTATAAACTGTTCAGGGAGGTGTAATAGGTACCTTCTTGTAGCTCACAATCAGTGCAGGCATTTTTATCACTCCTCATTTCTGTGCCAGAGCACAAGGAAGCTGCAATTTACCTTGTGATGCCATGGTTCTAATCTCAAAATATATGGAAATAAAACAGATGTAAAATTTAGGCTGTTGGTCACTTAGTTTATATCAAGTGAAATAATTTCTTTAATCATCTCATCAATGTTTATATACAGAAAAACTAAATCCTCTTTTTACTGACCTGCTTTAGCTGGGTACACAAATGGTGGGTTCTCTTGGTAGCCTGGAGCAGGGCTGGGGGAAAGGAGAAGTGGGCTTTTTCATCTTTTCCCTCAATGTGTTCTTTCTGTGGTTCTATGGGATTGTAGTATCAGGCCTACATTCTTGTCTTGAGGGATTATAGTCAAAATTATGTATAATCTACATCATATAAATTGTATCAGGTAAAGGGAAAAGGGTAAGTTTACACAAAATAGTGTAATGCTCTCAGATCACAGCTGAAGGGCCAGGGAGAGGCTGTTTTAAATACATTAAGTGGTGTCTTTTCCATCCCTGATGTATAAAGAAGGCCTGAAAATATTTTTGCTTTTTTCTTTGTAAAGATTATTAAACTTAATTTCCTTATTTTGCTCAAGGCTATTTTGAGGCTCTCAAGACATGTTACTGTGAGCACCTGCAATGTAATTAAGTCTTTGAATACCATGTATTTACCTTAAACTCTCTCAAAATTGTTTAATTGGTATTTTAATGAGAATATTTTTTTTATTCCTTACTGCCCGAATAGCAATTTTAATCATCTTGGCTAAAATTCAGATTTGCTTTGACTCCCGAAGCTTTCAAATTGTTCTCTCTTTTAATTTCAAATGCCAAACAGCCTTTCAGATATGGCAGGGCCTGACTTTCTGTAAAAAAAACCCAAAAAAACCAACAAACAAAACCCAAAGCCAAAGCAAAAGTGCAAAGGAAGCTGATGAATGGCTGCACTGTTCCCTTGCAGTGCGGTTTGTTGCTTGCAGACTGATCCGCCTTTGTGAGGGCCCAGATCCTCCCGAGGGAACCATCCGAAGGCAGATTTTGGTAAGGCTAATTGTGGGTGAGCAATGAGGTACAGTTGATCCCCCAGGGAAGTCTTCAAATCTTATGATGCTTGTTTTGGAGAGGGAGTAGAGATGTATGTGTAGTTCTGGAAGGGTGGTTGGTGTTTTGGCAAGAGTATTGCTGACTCTCTCTTCTCATCACTTGAGGAAAGATAAGACTGATGATCCCGTTTTTTCCCTTTTAAGAGAACAAAGTACAGGCTGAAGTGGGATCTATATTTTACCTTGCTGAGACAGTGGAGTTAGGAATGTCTGGTTAGCATCACATCTTTTCACAGGGCAAAATGTGTTACGAGCAACACGTTCATTTATTTCAGTATGTTATAGTATTGTTGAGGAGGGCACCATAATTCTTATGCTGCATCGAAGTGTTCAGGACTTCATTCAGAAGTGAGAGTTGCTGGTCAGAAATTGCAGAGCTGAAATACCCTTGTGCTGTGTTAGATACACCTTAAGAAAATGAGATCTTACCTTGCCTTTCTTGAAAGTGACTGTATTTTCACAAAGGACTTACCATTTTCTCCTTCAGATGTCTATGAAAACTGGGAAAGGATGGATAGATGTTGGAAAAGCTGATCTTGCTGATGGATTTCTAGAGAATGCCATGGGTGTAAGTTTTAATTTCCAGTTTTAATTTCTTACATACACACCTCTTTGTAAGTTCCTTGGGTGATGCCTGTGCTTTGTTTTCCAGAACATAGAGAAGCTGTATGCAAAGTTACGTAAGGGGAGCGATGGTGAAGCAGATATTCATGAGCACAGAGCTGATGTGGAGAATAACCTTTTCAAAGTACTCTCTTATCAAGCTGAATCAGTACGTGTTCTTCACAGGTTTCCTTATAAGTCACAAGAGGTATAGAGGGAAACTCTGACCCACTTATTAGATACCTGAATGCTTGGCAGTGAAGACTTGCTGAGGGATATGTTTCCTTCACTTAGATGTAAGATAGCAGATCTCGTGCCTGCATTCAGTGTTGCAATCTTTTAATGATTTTTAATTTCCCCTGATTTATCGCAGTCGTTTTTGCCGTGGTGTTTGTATCTTCCAGTTCAGATTTGTTGCTCTATGATTTGGCTGGCAAGGCTGTTTGTAAAATAAACAGCTGCCTGTATGAATCATAAATGTGTCAGTTCCAACAGTGTCCTGTGCATGGCTGAAGAAGAGGGGTAGGACTGGTGTGGAGCCTGGCTCCCCCAAGCTGAGATTATGT